TTAAATCATATTGTTTACCTTACAGACTGTCAACCATATTTTAGGGATTAAAAAATATTTCCCTATTACCAACAAAGTAGAATTTTTAAATAAAATATGCCTTTAATGTTGCACAAATGCATATCAAATTATGGGAAGAAATCCCCCTCCAAGCTCAAAATTATCTGGTTTCCATGTAATCATACTCTTAGTAAGGTTGCTTTGAACATCCTAAACTGTCTTATTAGAGGAGATGTCTCTAATAGTTATTCTTAATTACATAGTGACTATTTTTCATTGACAACTGATTTATCAGAAGCCCATTACATTTAACACCTGTGATTGGTTCTGCCAGAGGATACAAATACAAAATAAGATACAGTTTCTGCTTTAAATGGGAAATATTTTTAGTTTAACGGATGTGGAAAGTAATTCTGTTAATTTTTCCTTTTGATGGGTGTTCAAACCACTACTGGGATAATATTAGGAACATGACAAAATACAGTTATTCAACACCCAATATGTGCAAGACATTGTGCTAGTTTGGGACTTCAAAAAGGATTAAGATTTTGCCTTTGCTGTTACAGCTAGAAAGACCCAGGCAGGATGTAATAAGAATGATAGTAAACGTGTGAAAAGTACTGTGAGAAAATGCTTCAGAAACTAATGAATGAAGCAGAAAATGAAGACATAGTATATTATGTTATATTATAGATATGAAGTTACATATTTGCCTAAGTAATTATTGATTTATTATTGGCGATATAATATAGTGTAGTAAAGCTAGCACATGCTTTAGAGATCAATACAAGGGGATTAGAATCCTGGCTCTGGCATACACTACTGAATCTCTGTGAACTCAGTTTCCAAATACATAACATTCTCATGAAGATAGTGCCTTTGGAGGGTGTCATGAGGATTCAGTGAAATAGTATATGGGAAGATTCTAGTAGCCGACCTGGCACATAATTGATCTTTGCAAAATACCCACACCCTGTGAGCATATCTGCTCCTCAATCTGTCCACTCTTCATTCCCACTGCCACATCCCTAGTCCACGGTGTTATCACCACCTCTCAACTTCACTAGTACAGCAGCCTCTTAGAAGAGCCCTTCTTCTATTTGTACTTCCCTGTAATGTATTGTCAATGCCATTGTCACAATGAGTTTGTAAAAAATGTAATCCAATCATATAAATTCCCTTACTTCAAACTCCCAGTGGCTTCCCAGTAATGGGATACAAATTCGAAATGATGGGATGGCAATCAAACTTCTTACCACAACCTATAAGCAAAGACAGAGATAGACTGAATATCAGAAGAAGAGAGATCCAGGAAAGAACACAGGAAAAATGATTAACTTTTGGGTTCTCTAAGGCTGCCACAACAAAGTACCACAGACTGGGCGGCTTACACAATAGGAAATTAATTTTCCACAGTTCTGGAGGTATCAAAGTGTAGACAAAATTGGGTTCTTCCAAGTCCTCTTTCCTTGGCTTATAGATGGCCATCTTCTCCCCATCTTCGCCTGGTCTCCACTATGTGTCTGTGTGTGTCTGTGTCCGAATCTACACTTCTGATATGGTCACTATTGGATTGGGGCCCACCCTAGTGACCTCATTTTCACTTAAGTATCTCTAAAAATTATATCTCCAAATATGGTAATATCATGAGGTTCTAAGAATTAGATCTTCATCATAGGAATTTGGAGGGAATACAGTTTAGCTCATAACAATATGCTCTATAGCTCTCCATCTTTTGCTGATATTTCTACAACTTATTTTCCATGTAGTTTTAACAACAGTCACCATAACATGTATTATAAATGTGTTGCTTAAAAGATGCCACTTTTTAGAATATGGTTTCAAGAGTAAGTTTTCTAACCACCATACCCTGGTTTTTATTCTATCACTGTGGCTTTCATTTCTCATCATTCTGTTCCTCCCTTGCTTTGCTTCAGCCCATTGGCCTCTTTTCTAGTCCTTGAATGCATTCAGCCCTTTTCCTGTCTTTGATCTTGTCCTTTTGCAGTTCTCTCTGCCTGGAATCCAATTTTCCAAACTCTTGCAATGGCTCATGCTCGTTCTCCAAGTTTGAGTTTAAAAGTCACTGCTTTGAAGAAGCAGCTGTGACTGCAAATCAAGAATGGCCTTCCCAGTCTCTCACTGTCTTACCATTCTGCATTTTGCCTCTTAGAAATGGTAGCATTCTGTCATTTAGTTTATCTTTTTACTACTGTACTCTGATTGCCCAAATGTCATGTTAGCTCTTTGAGGCAGGGAATTCCTGAGTCTTGTTTACGAATGTAGCATCAGAGCCTAGCAGGTAACCTGATACACAACTGGCACTCATTCAATAAACACTTATTGAATTAATGTCTGAATGAAATCCCTTTACCAATCAAATGCTTTTAGGATCTCACTCAGTCTCAAAGATCCATAGGAACATATGAGGTAAATACTGAATAATGAATGTCATAAATAGTAATGTTATAATTTTGAACACAAAACATTATTCAAGAATCACTGAGAAAGTAACATGTTATGCAAGAATTGGAAAATGCTCATTATTATCATGGAATCATTGTAACTATGGAACTACAAGAATTAGCATACATCCCCACACTTTAAAATAAATTTATAAAGAAAAAATATCATTGGCCTAATTCTTCTCTCTCCTAGACTCCTTACTCCCTTGAAATACCTATGATGTTAATATTTTACAGCACATGGCTTTGTAAATACTATTCTAGAAAAACAGGTGAACACTGTAAAATAGAGTAAAGTGAAGAGCCTCATCTAGGAACTTGTTAGACATGCAAATTGTGAGGCTGGACCTTATGCCTACTACTAAATCAACAATTCAGGGTGTTGAGTTCAGCAATCTGTGTTTAACAAGCCCAAGTGATTCTGATATTCATATATATATATATATATATGTGTGTGTGTGTGTGTGTATATATGTATATATATACATATATGTTTGTGTGTATACATATACATTTATATGTATATATATACATATGTTTGTGTGTATACATATACATTTATATGTATATATGTGCACATATACATATATACCCATGCTATTAGTTGTTTAATACTATTAGTAGTTAAGGTTTGAGAACCACTTCCATAAACAGATCTTCAAAGTAACTTTTGATTTCTCAAGTATCTTGTCGAATAGACTAGTTGTCAGGACATAATTGACCTCAATTATTCTGAGTAACATATCCCCACTTGCCCTGACTTGCAACGACATAGTATTTCTGGTTTTAATACTCTTGCAATAGTCCTTAAGAAACTAACAGTGATTTATTTCACTGTTGAACCTATTTGAGTGAAATTGCTATCTTCTAGGGTTCAGCACACATTACCTGCTTCCTGGGTTACCTAACTATTCCTGGAACAGTTTCACTTTAATGAGTTTATTACTACCATGTTTTGTTGTTGTTGTTGTCTCCAATTTTCCATTCAAATAAAAATTTAATTAACTTTTCTGCTTTCTATAGATGTAGTCTTGAAAAAATTAAATCTCATGGGAGATCAGCCTGATCCAGACTTTTTCTTGCACTGTACTGCCTGAGGCTCTATTTTTCTTAGGATACTTACTCAATAAAGAATTTCCTCATTCTCCCTAGAGCTATCTTTCTTTGTGTGGATCAATCTTCATTCTTTAGAAGAAGAAATACTCAGATTTATTTTTATGAGGATAACTTTAGAACTAGAGCATTAAGTGATACCAATTTCTCTTTGCCTTTTTTTTGGCCATAAATCATATTTCCCAGCCAGAATCCTTCATCTTGATAGCAGATGTTGTTCTTCCCAGTTACAGAATATCTAGCCTCTGTCTATACAGCGTTATAAATGATTGTTTAAGGAAATTATGTTCAAGGGTCAACAATATTTATATTTTTGTTAGTAATAAAATGCTATATTATCCATAATGATGACTATTGTCATCATTGAGCACATTATGTTCTAGAGATTGGGACAAATGGTTACAAGTATTATCTCAATTAATACTCCTTAAAATCTTTACCTATGAGGATACCTGACTTGACGATCATATTACTAGAACATGTTAGAACCAAATTTGAACTCCAAACTTCTGATTTTACGCATCATGCTAAACTCAAATTGTGCTAAACCCAGATTGTATTCCCTTGCCTAAAATCTGTGTCAGCCATATTGTCACTATGTTCCCACGTTTCTCTTCTGCCAAAACACCTATGTGCTTCTTCACAAATCAGTCTTATTTAGATACAGGGAAGAGTCTCATTAGTAGTCATTTTCAGAAGGAAAGGGAACCTCACATGGAATGCATACTTTCATAAGAGAGTCGTTGTGTTGAGCATCTTATTTCAGCAATTTCATTTGATTTCTAGCAAGTTCTTGCCTGATGGTTGTGGTCGCTACTATTGAGGAGTTAAGTAACTTGCACAAGATCGTACAGCTAGTAGGTAGCAGAACATAAATAGCTGTTACTCATAGGAAAGCTTTTCTTTGATCCCAATCACCAGTGGATGATGTGCCTGTTGATAAAGGTGACATGAATCATTTTTAAAATTATTTACCAGTATCCTCAACTCTCCAAGGATGCATTCTGTATAGACATTATGGTTTTTGTCTTCTTCACTCCTGTGGCCACATTTCCCTTTTTTAACAGCTCAGTTCTTTATAAAGGCCAATCAGATGATGGACTATAAAATATCACAAAGGTTAAAAGCTTTTGTGTCTCAGCATTGCCTGTTGTAACAGTGCCCAGGGGTAATGTATCGTTGAAGAAACAAGTTTCCTGGTAAGTAATTGGGGTTTCTTTTTGCCTGTAGGAAAACACTGATTTCTGGTTTTGTTGTGTTTTGGTCTACATTTTTTTGTAGAGATATATTATCTCACTGAAAATTTAAGATGCTTATAAAAACATGATATGTCATATCTGTATTTACTCTGTAATTATCTAACCATCCCAGTCTGTAAAATAGGTAATTATTCTTCACACTTATTTACTTCATACCTGCTAGGTCCAGTTACAGAAGTGAAAACTGACATATATGTCACCAGCTTTGGACCTGTTTCTGATGTTGAAATGGTAGGTATTTGGAAGTTTAATGTAACTTTGAGGCTTGAAGAAAACATGTAGAAAAGAGGGTAATTAATATTTATTTCATGTCAATCACACAAAACTAGAAAGCCAAAGAATACCTAATTAAACTTAAGAATGCGTAAAGAGTAAGACATTGAATTTCGTTCAATTTGCATTTCAGCTGTAACATTTGAGTATTTGTTGATTTAGGGTCATTCCAAACAAAGGGAAGAACCTTCCTACTACTGGTCCCTATGTCGCAACCTGGTGTTCAGCCTTTTTGCTTTTTTTTTTTTGAGATGGAGTTGCACTTTTGTTGCCCAGGCTGTAGTGCAATGGCACAATGATCTTGGCTTACTGCAACTTCTCCCTCCCAGGTTTAAGTGAGCCTTCTGCCTCAACCTCCATGTAGCTGTAGCCGGGATTACAGGCGTGTACCACCACATGTGCTTAATTTAGAATTTTTAGTAGAGATAATGTATCATCATGTTGGTCAGCTTGGTCGCGAACACCTGACCTCATGTTATCCATTCACCTCAGCCTCCCAAAATGCTGGGATTACAGGCATGAGCCACAGTACCCTGATGTTTTTTCTTTAGGAAACTATTGAGGAGGAGAAAATTAGTGGTGATCATTAGCTTCAGTATGAACTAGTTGTGTACACTATTTTGTAGTTTTCATTGTATTTAGTATTTCATGTTGGTCTAGTTGCTTGCTGCCTATCTCAGTCCTTCTCCTTCCTTCTCACTCATGTTTAAGAGTTTAGAATACCAAGCACTTGTCAGGAAGAATTCATCCATACAGTTGTGCTACCTTATAGTAAATATATTTAGTTTGCATGACAAAAAAAGCCACCTTAGTTTGTTCCTTGATCCAAACTCCTAGTAATTTGAAACTCTTTGGTTATTTGACTAAACTTTGTGAAAATAAAATATGTTTTACATGTATTACTTTGTCTTTAAAATGCATACAATTACATGATTAATTATGCATAATATTTTTTACACATCAACTGATTTTTTTATCTAGTCTAAATTAAAACACAACTGTAGCTACCTGGTACTGGCAGTTTTCTTAAATTATAGCAAATTTATTCTTAAATGATTCCTATGTGTGGTAATTTATTTATCTTATGAATGTAGAAGATGAAGGCATCAAGATAGATAAAAGGTACTCTAAATTTTTTTTGCTCCATTGATTTACGATCATTTCTGCTCCTATTAATTTTATTTGAAATGGTCTTTTTAATGAGCATGAGGGAAGACAGAATTTAATGCTTATTTTAACAAACTTACATGTAGTCATTTGTGACTTAAATATGTTCCAAACTAATTGCTCTAGGAATACACAATGGATGTGTTCTTCAGACAGACATGGATTGACAAAAGACTAAAATATGATGGCCCCATTGAAATTTTGAGATTGAACAATATGATGGTAACAAAAGTATGGACCCCTGATACTTTCTTCAGGAATGGAAAGAAATCTGTTTCACATAATATGACAGCTCCAAATAAGCTCTTTAGAATTATGAGAAATGGTACTATTTTATACACAATGAGGTAATCATTTTTTTCTTTTTACTTCTTCCCTTCCCTTTTAATTTTTTCCCTTCCTTCCTTCCTTCCTTCCTTCCTTCCTTCCTTCCTTCCTTCCTTCCTTCCTTCCTTCCTCCAATCTCTTCCCACCCTGCCTTCTTCCTTTCTCCTTCCTTCTTTCCTTTTCTTCTGTCCTGCCTTCTTCCTTCCTCCTTCTCTCCCTTCCTCCTTCTCTCCCTTCCTTTTCATTTTAGGATCTAAAATTATAATTATTTTTAAGAAGGCTTGATTTTATTCAATTGCATTTCTCATCATAGACTCACCATAAGCGCGGAGTGCCCCATGAGATTGGTGGATTTTCCCATGGATGGTCATGCATGCCCTTTGAAATTTGGAAGTTGTAAGTTGTTGCAATAAAAATGCTTTTATGATTTAGAATTTAGAATTTATGATTACCTCACGCAAGCTGATATTTACATATGTATTTAATTTTTCATAATTTGACATTTAAATCATTGTCTGTGACAAAAACTCTCTGGTTTAATTTCTGGAGACTTCATTAACTAATATTTTACAACGAAATAAAACAACCTCCTTTTCCCACAAAAAACAAAAACTTATTTATACAGATAGTACTCTTATATCTTATATCTTAGAAATAAAACAACCTCCTTTTCCCACAAAAAACAAAAACTTATTTATACAATAAGTACTCTTAGCCACAATTGACAGGTGATCAGTCATGAAATTTAGGGACCTCTGAATGCTACATGTTGGTAGTGTTACATAGAAAGTACAAATTATATAAAACATATATATATAATTTATATAAGTATAATATATATATCAATCGATAGATATTTTATCGTAAGCAGAGTCATTCATAGCAGACTTGGGTAAAGTCCATAAAAGATTCAGAGCTTTCTGATACAGTATAGGTTAAAATGACAGAAGCAGCACTGTTAGTATAAAAGTGACTGAAGCATGGCAATAGCATGGTAGGGGGTGTGGTCTGAAATAATATAATGCCTTATACACCACATTTAGGAGTTTGGATTATATCTAAAAGCTATGGGAAGCCTTTGGAAGATTTGACAAAACAGTGTCACTTTCTTTGACATCTTACAGTTCCACTTTGGCTTTTTTTTTTCTTTTTCTTTTTTTGAGAATGGGTGGTAGAGAGGCTGGAGTGGAAGCAGAGAAGAGATGGAAGCTGTTGTTTTAGTACAAGCAAAGATGGCAGTGGCTTAGACTAGGAGGGTAGTAGAGGAGAAAGTGTGAAATAGATGTTTGGGAAATTTGGTAGAAATGAACGCAACAGGATGAGATGAATGGATAGGAATTAATATGCGATTCCTTTCCTTAAGCTCCCTTCTCTTGAGATAGCAGAAAACTATGATTGCCTTTTCTAAGGTCTGCCTCAAATTTTCAGTTCAATCAGAATCTACCAAAAATAGATGCTGGCTTTTACTATTGCTTCAGATTCTTAGTCGCACTGATTGTGAAACTGTTGCCTGCTGTTATCATTGCTCACTGCTTAACTTAATGAGAATCAGCAGTAACTATTCTTTTTATAACCCCTACTAATCACAATATTCAGTGGCCTAACTTGAAGCCAGAGAGAGAGTAATATGTTCCCTTACCAGTAATTTAATAAGAGAAGATAAATAGAGAAAAATCCATAGACAGGGTGATCTCATTGGGGCCAGAATTATCCATTTGTACTGTCATCATTAAAATTTTACCCAAATTAGCTCTCATGTAGAGGAAGTCCTTTTCACTCCCCACATTCTAAACTCTAGTTCTCAGAAAAACCTCTCTTCAGAAGGACTTGAACATAGCAATAAAGAAATTGCACATTGGAAGCTGATGCTTTTGGATTGTGAATTAAAAAGAGAGGAGCACCATACTCAGCAAGTAAGGATTTTTAATTATTCTGGAAACAGAGAGAGAAAAAAAACATGATTTAAAACCCCCATTCTTATAATCAGAGGAATTTTAAAAACCAGGAAAGAAAAAGGTTATTCTAGCAAGGTAGGATAGCCACAGGAAGGATACTTAATATGTAATATCATAGGCAAGAACATAGTATATAGAGGCTGTAACAATTTAGTGAAATGTGAATATATTCCTGGAGATAAATGCTGACATATAACATAACTGAATGAAGCTAAAATTACAACACATGCCTCATTGTTTTGTAAGGTGCTCTTAGGTGTCAACTCCTTTCCTAGAATTAAATGATTCCATCGAGGGCCTACTGTGCTATAGTCATTTTAGGATGGTTTGGGAGGTAGGTTGGCACACAATTCATTTTGGTTCTTTTGAACTTACTTGTGTGTGAGCCAAGCTGTCTGTTATGGGTAGACTGGTAAGCAAGCAGCTGGTATCCATTTGCACTGAGTGCCAAATAATAGAAAATGGGCTTAAATTGCCACTAGAAGAGATCTGTTGAAGATAGAAGGGGAAATGTCTTGATTGTAAGAAATTAAAGGTAGTGGAACTGGTTGTGTAATTATATTCCCTGGACAGCTTTACAAAAAGCATAGCCAGTTGTCACTGTACAATGGTCCCCAAATACAGTGGATATTGTCCAGATGCAGAGTTTGGAACAGGTAACCCAGGGGAGCTCTCCTAACAGTAGGATTTGTTTGGTTTTGTTATTATATTATTACAGGAAACATATGGTACATTTCTAAATAGGAGAACTGTGTTAGGCTGACACTGGTCAAGCACTGGAAGTGGTATAGAAGTGAAAAAAGTAGGAGCTTGACAGTACGGTTTTGGGAGTTTAATACATCTGCTTTTGAACTGCTTATCCTTACTAGCATGGACACACATATTTCTGCATATGTAGCATTCGGATGCCTCAGTTTTAATCTCTCCTCCTCCAACTACTTGGCATAAAAATAAATACTGTTGATTTGCAAGAGTATTTACTCAATCTCTAGTTTTCTAAATCTTAAACGTATTTGACTAAATTATAGTGAACATTGTTTTCATTTATTCCGTCTTGCATGAACAAGTACTGTTTTTAAGTGCTGACCACTGATGTGGTTGAAAACGCAGCATTGACTCTAACTACATTCTGTGGTCTCTTTTAGATGCCTATCCAAAGAGTGAGATGATCTATACCTGGACAAAAGGTCCTGAGAAATCAGTTGAAGTTCCAAAGGAGTCTTCCAGCTTAGTTCAATATGATTTGATTGGGCAAACTGTATCAAGTGAAACCATCAAATCAATTACAGGTGAGATGTGTAATAAAGCCTAAATGCTACTTGGTGTTAGCAATAGAGTTTTCTCCTAACTTTTTCATGGAAATAGTTGCATTTTTTCAGGAGAACAACAAACATTTTCCAGAAATAGTGTTGATGCAAGAGTTACAGATCATAATTTCTTTATATTTATAATCTTACTTTAGTTCAAAATAAATTCTGATTTAGTAAGATTTTAAAAGTGAGTTGGTTTTCTTATTCAGAAATGAAAGTCAGTAATCAAATATGTAAAAATTATTTTCACAAAATTATGTGGTAGGAAGCTTGATCTTGTTTTTTTTTTAATTCTCCTTTCTTTTTTTGTGTTTGCTTTCTTTTTGGTTATGGATTTTGGTGATTTTTGAGAGGCTTTCCAAAAATTTTATTTTATCTTGCTCAATTTTAGGATACCACCTTTCTTCATTTTTTCAAAGTTAACAAAAATATCAAGCTTAATTACAAACTATATTATGGGTATACAGTAGAGTTCCCACATGAGTAGGGGAATGTTTATTATTGGTGTTTCTTGGTTTGTCTTTTCTTTTGGAATGTAAATAGAAAGAACTATAGAATTTAGTTTTTAATCATATTTAGTGGAACAAAATTATCTGATTATTGTTTGTTCTAAGATGGTTCCTTATATACACATATCACCAGAAAAAAATATTTCTAATGATAGTTGTCTTAGTTTGTTTGTGCTGTTATAACAAAATAACACAAACAGGGTGGTGTATAAACAACAGAAATTTACTTCTCACAGTTTTGGAGGCTGACAAGTCTAAGATGAGGTGATAGCAGATTCAGTGTTCAATGAGGAGCCCCTTCTTTGCTCACATACTAGTACCTTCTATTAATAAGTCCTCACATGTGGACCCTCAAGGTGTAGGGAGTGGGTGCTCACACTGGGGCCACCTTCGTAAAGGCACTAAATCTAATCATAAAGACTCCACCATCATGATTTAATCACCCCAAAGCCAACTTCCTATCATGACAATGGCTGTTATGTTTCAACATCTGAATTTTGAGGACCACAAACATTTAGACCACAGCCATAGTTAAAGTTTATTCAACAGTTACTATCTGACAGGCACCCTTCTAAATTCTTTGCATGTATTCTTTTGCATAACCATCACATGACATGGATACTGCTACAACGTTTATTTCATCCATGAGAAGATTTAGGTACAATGTATTTGCCTAAGCACACAACTAATAAAGGGCAAAACCCAAATTCAAATCTAAGTGTTTTGATTTCTGAGTTTGTATTCTTCAAAAGTTGACTGCCAGATAAAATGCTACGATTTCATTAGTAGAAAATGAGTAGTTTTAAGAGCTGGAACAAAGGTGTGAGAAAATGAAGTTTTTTGGTTTTGTTTCAAGAAAAAATGGACAAAGCAGTGTGGTGAAGGGATGAGGAATCTAAAATAGTCAAACTCAGAGGCAGAGAGAGGAATGGTGGTAGTCAGGGGCCTCCAAAAGGAGGAAACAGGGAGATATTAGTCAAAGAGCATAGTATTTCTGTTATATAAGGTCCTAGATATCTACTGTATAGCAGAGTGCATATAGTAAACAGTACTCTACTTAAAAATTTGCTAAGAGAATAGATCTCAAATATTCTTATCACAAAAGATAATAAATAACAAGGAGGGAACTTTTGGGAATGATGTATAAGTTTATGGCATAGATCGTGGTGATAGATTCACAAGTGTATACTTATCTCCAAACTCATCAAGTTGTATGCATTAAATATGTACAGTTTTTGTATGTCAATCATACCTCAAATAAACTGGTTAAAAATTAAACATAAATAAGATAAAATGGAAATGTACCATGCATACATAAAATTAATACATAAGCTTTTGTTTTAAAAAATAAATTTAGCCCACTGTCTTTTCTATTAAAGCTGCTTTGTATAAATTCACACACTATCATGAAATCAATGACTCTGCTCCTGTCTCCTAAATTTCCATTACTTTTATCTTTATGATACCTGTCATGACTGTTATCATCTTGAGGAAGCCTTCACATCAATTACGAAACAATACAGTAGCTTTCTAACAGGGCACTTTGCCTTTCATCTGTCCAGGAAAATATGTTTTTGGAAGGACATTTATTTTCCAGTCTGCAAGTGGGATTTAGAACTCATCTGGTAGGATGTGAGTTTCTGAATGCTGGGCTTCACAGTTTGTGAATAAGGCCACTGCTTCCTAAGTAACTTTCTTAACATGTTCTTTCCAGAAGTAACAGTAAAAATACTTACTAACAGCTACCAGAAATCTCATGGTTTATTATACGTATTAGGTTTTCAAGTTTTTCTCTAAATGCCAGTAAAACATGCTTGAACTCAGTATACTTGTGTGTTTTACATGTCTGTATTTTTCTTCATATAAAGAACATTTAGAAATTCAACTGTTTTCTAAAACTAATGTAGTCTCTCTCTGAGTTTATGAGTGTGTATGAAATATATATATTTACATGTAAATAAAATACGTATATTTATTCCTTTCTAAAATTATATTTTCATAACTGTGTGTGTATGTATATGTATCAGTGTCTGTGTGTACATTTCCATTTTTTCCCCAGTAGTTTTCCATAAAAGTTAGGTCTAAATGCTGTTTCTAAAAAACACTGAAAATGAAAGCTAATTGCCTTAGCAATACTAGACCATCAAAATAGAAAGCACTACAGAAATTTTAAAGAAGTTTTAGCCCAATTTGTTAAATTGTTTAATCATTACATGGAACACAGTGTTTTTCTGTATAGTAACGTTCAATATCATTTCTTTCTCATTAGGAAACTACATACTTACTGATGTTTGTGTAGCTATGCACAAAAGATAATTTCTTTGCTTAGAATCCTGTTTGTTCATCTGAAATATGTTTATGAAGCCATTGACTAATTGCCTGCAGAACCGATAATACACTTTCCTCCTGTTTTCTTGGCAGGTGAATATATTGTTATGACAGTTTACTTCCACCTCAGACGGAAGATGGGCTATTTCATGATTCAGACCTATATTCCATGCATTATGACAGTGATTCTTTCTCAAGTTTCATTCTGGATAAATAAAGAATCAGTTCCTGCTAGGACTGTATTTGGTAATTGCAATTCATTTCTTGAGTGTTTTGTTCAAATTACATTTTGATCAGGATTCCTAGGATATTTCTAAGAAAATCTTAAACCCTAATACATCAGGCTGCCCTGAATAAGGAATCATACAGGCTTTCATTTTTACCTAGCTAGTACATAGTAATAAAGCCTGGGTAGATATGGGCATCCTTCCTTTCCTCTGGGGCCATGTATCAGATTTCTCTTGTTGAGAACCAGACAGGCGAAGACCAAATGTGAATCTGGACATAATCTCACTTTTAGTGATATTCTTGGGCTCCAAGTATAATGCTGTGTAATTGAATTAAAATTATGTCTATGTGTTAAAATGAAATGCACTGGCAGCTTAAAATAAAACAAATAAAAGTCATGGCTGAATAAATATGAAAGCCTTAGAATAATTTAGCTTTTAATGAAGAGGAACAAAATGCAAATGGTTTAAATGCATTGAATAGGAAGGTATTATGTGCTTAGTTTATAAGCTTATCTATTTACAACTTTTTTTTTCTAAACATTGTTTTTTCTTTTCGTTTTTATATTGGCTTTATATATACCATATGGTATTCTGAACCATATAAAGTTCAGAACATATGACTTCAAAATTTTTATAACTGTTAATGTCTTCTATATGTCAGTCATGCTTTTAAAATAGTAAAATTTGTTATAATTATAGTTATTTTAATGCCTTTCTCTATTTTTTCCTCTGTTTATTGTGAATAACAAAAGCATTCAGTAGTAGAATAAGAAGGAAAATAATCAGAATTGCTCTGGAATGATGGTATAGTCCTCACAAGACTGCCAATTCCTCTTTGCTTTTCTACCTGGTAGGATCACAGCCATGGTATAATATCCCTTATCACACAATAGCTGAAGATATACTGGTGTGAAGGAACTAAGGAGAATAGAAACTTTTCATCCGGCCTCCCCATTCTTTTCAAAAACTGCTGATTAGGGTGTCTTAGCGTCCTCAACAGATCTGAAATACTCTATAAACAACTATCCTACCTTTAATCTTCAGTTTCTCTTAATAAGTGTTGAAGTATGAGGATGCATTAGAAAAATAGGAAAAAAATTTGGAAATACGCTGCAGAAACTCATATGAGGGGCCAATGGTGAAGGCAGGATGTGACCTTAGAAAGTAAGTGAGCAGGTATAATGGTACCTTAAAGAGTTATGAGGGTTCACTTAAAGAATAACTGCACAACTGAAAGTGTTGAATATATTTTAGTTCTTAAATATGGGTGTGAAAATGAAAGAGAGAAAACAACAAATCTAAGCTGTGGATGTCAGCAAGTCTAGGTTTAAACCAAAATTTGCCACTAATTTTCTCCATCTATAACATTTTGACAATACATCTTTCCATCATACACTAGTGAGAATTCAAAGAGTTATGTACAGTACTCAATATGGGGTATCTGGATCACTTAGCTTGTATTAATCACTTTCTCCCATACTTCTCTTATCTAAGGAAGATACATTTGTTCTGACTTAGTTTCCTTGACTTCTAAGTGTTTTAAAGAAAGCATAACTTTCTAGTGTGTACTATCAGACACTCTGCTAAGTTCTTGATGTTCATTATCACAACAGTCATGCTAATTTTGTGTCTTTATACATCATGTTTTGACGCACTCTTGACTAGGCAGAAAGTGTCTGCTGAGGCTGAGCGTCCAAAGTCTCTTTACTTTTTCTTGTACAAAAATATAAATATTTTAGGAAATACCCTAATTAAAAATTAAAAAGAAAACTCAGAAGTTTCTATTATATTTTACAAATAAAAAAACTCTTGTATACATATTGTTTTTTTAAATATGATCCTATAGAGCTTGTAGAACAGAAAATAACGATCCATCATAGGTGCCTGTAATCAAGAGGTGATAGTGTCATAAGTGCAGAATGCGGAGGCAAAAATCCTACTTTCTAACCCAGAGTCTATCACTTACTAGCTGTGAACCTTCAATAAGTTATCTTTGTCTGCTTCCTCATGTGTTAAAACAAGATGAATGATTGTATGTACTTCATAGGACTGCTGTAAGAATAAAATGAGTTGATTCAGCTATAGCCCTTGAAATAATGCCTTGTGCATAGTAAATACCATTTAAGTATTATTTATTGCTGTTTATTAGTATGGCATTCCATGCTATTGACTTCATTTGAGAATTGTTGCTTGATACATTAATGAGACTGTCTGCCATATATTATTATTGTGATGACTAATAACCTTTTATTTCTTGATTGACTATAACCTACTGTTCTGTCTAACTTGTCCCCAAATAATAGAAATTTCCAGTGGTGTGGAGGGTTAGTATTGATTACAGCTAGACTCACCCAACATTTCCTACCCAAATAAGGTATTTTAAGGAAATTAAGTAGCATAAAGTAAGGATATTAGTATTACTAGTACCAATGATAAACAGATTTGCCAAATATTGTTAACCCTAATAACCCTGATTACTCAGCAAGGTAGTCATTATTTTTTATAGATAAGAAAAATGACTCAAGCATATTAAGTAACTTGTATAAAGTCAAATTGTGATTAGTGGACCCAAGACAATTTCCGTGTAACTTTGACAACTCAGCCATTATGTCTTCGCAGGAGGTGTGGGGATGTGGGGGCTTGTGGAGAATTCCAGAGCTGCTGAGTGAGATTATATGGATGCGTGCTAAAGACACTTTGTGGGTGTTTTTTTTCATTTGAAATTTATCCATCTTTTGTGCCCATGTTCCAGCATATTGTTTTTAGTCAAGCAGAGAAATTAAGTCTTCGAAAACCTAAGATGCATCAGGTTGATAATTATTAGACTATCATTGAGGGTCTATGAAGGTACTCTCCTAGGAAAGTTAAGTTTTAAGTATTTTAGGGAAATTTTGCAGTCTATTTTCATGTGAGATTTTGGTAAAAACTAATTCTGGGCTAATTTTTTTCTTCCTAACTCTTATTTCCCTTTTCAATCATAAGAAGATAACTTGCTGGGTCAGAGACATCATTAGAGACTGTGCAAAAACAAACCCCCCCAGAAAATATCGATGTAAATAAAAGGAGCAAAATGTGCTAAAAATCTCTCCAAAGGCCTTCTATCACCAAAGCTGTATGCCTCTAAGTTTTCTAATTATTCCAGTATAGTAAAACATTAAACACAAGTAAATGCCAGCTGGCATATCTTAATCATTGCTATTTCATTTTCTAGGAGTGGCCAGCCAAAAATTCACTCTTGTGTACAGTCTTTGCCTACTCTTACACATCCTTTCTCAGCTTCTGGGCCAGCCAATATGGTGCATATTCAGCATGCTAAATACAGGGAATGGCATCAATAATTGGATATATTTTTTAAAACATGGCTTTTAAATGTGTTCAGGGTAGATGCTGGCTAAGCCATACGTGACAGATAAATTGTCTTCCTGGATGCAAAGGAAACATGGATTCTTATTCTGACGAGTTGGTTTCTGTTTGCTATTCCATTGGTTTTCATTTAACCAAATGTTCCACCTGAAACCAAGTATAATAAGCATACCTTTGTCATGGCGTTCTTTAAATTTTAACACCAGGAGAGATAATTTTTTAATGCCTAAAGATGTGGCAACATTTAAACATTTAGCCAAGTGTTTGTGTCAGCTGCTTTCTCAGTTCTGCCAGTGTCATAAAATAGGAACCATAGTATCTGGGGGGCAATTCTACAAATTTTAAAATCAAACTTATTGAAAGCAATGCAAGATAAAAAGAAGATAGCCACCTCTCCAGCATTTGTGTGTGTGTGTTGGTGTCCACATCATCATTTAACTTATGAATCTGGTGATCTCTCCTCCTTAACAACTGAAAAATAATTATTGAATGTATGGGTCAATAACTACATTAGTATTCTGTTTGCCTGACATTGGTAAGAATATTTTTTCACATAGCAAGAGAAAAAGATGAAGACCACTATTTCTGATCAACAAGAAAAATTGTCGTATTACAAAAAAAAAAAACAGTTCAAAGTAACATAGGCAATCTTAAGTTGCTTATATTTAAATTTGAGTATCCTTTTAGGTTATCACATTACAGTCCCTGTAGAATTTTCTGAATACTGAATAGTATTATTATTTATACTGCATTGTTTATATTTTATTCTAGCCACTTTTAGCATTGTTTCTATGGCATTAGAGGGAAAATATTGCTTACATATCTGAGAAAGTTATAGCACATTTTTGAATTCTTAATAGCCCATTAAATTTAAATTTTTATTAACGAGAAAAACATTTTTATCTATCATCAAACGTAGCTAAAAATTTTCAGTTGTTTTATTGTTTATTCATATATCTCACAGCCAACATGGGAATGGTGCCACTTTTCTGAGATTCAGAATGAAGGCCTAAATGTTCCAAGGTCTCTTTCTGAAATAAAATCCAATAAATTCACAATATAGCATTTTCATAGATATGTAGATATTTATATATTTGAATAAACTCATTTTATAATCTATTTTAGACTAGTGAGAATGTTAACAATGTCACAAAAAATTTAAAAGGGAATACAACCAAGTTCTCAAGTTTCTTTCTCTGTATAGTTTATAAGATCTTTATAAATGATGCGTAGCTCATGTGCTGCACAGTTGCTCCAATTTTTCATGTTCTAAGCATTGAAGATTTAGAAGAGATTGGATTTCAGAGAAAATGGATTGGGGAGGAACTGGAAAAAATGAATTTTTATTTTCAGTGCATTAATCTTGTGCCTAGCACCATGTGAAATATTATAAACCTGAAGCAATCTTAGACTTGTGTGCCCTCAAGAAGACTATGCTTAATAAAGCTGTGGAAATGAGGGTTACACACACAGATCATTTAAGGAACTGCTGTTTCTTAACAGTAGAACACAACAAAATTCTAAATTGAGGAGACAATATTATTTTCCCCAAATTGAAATAGTATGGTTGAACATGCATTATTTGCCTTTCAGCTGGGGATTGCCATGGATTGGAATATGCAGTTTAAACGCCTTCAACATCATTGTTCTATCATCATCATCATCATCATCATCATCATCATCATCTCCAAATGTGTCGTGTGTTAACTTCAGGCACTATCCTAGTCATCATACAGAATCAGTTAAAATGGATGTAGTAAATGCCCCCAAAATTTCCAATCTTAACTGCATAATATGGATTAGACAGACGTATATAGATGCAGAAATGGACAAGTGTCCAAATGTTAGCATTCTTAAATAATGTGTTACACTATAGTACCAGTAGCAAGGAGAATTTTTCTATCAAGAGTGGGAACTGACATTTTTTTTAGGCTAAGGAGAAAGCATTCCTGTATGTAGTGCTTCAGAAGCCTTACTGATGGAGAAGTAATTCTGTCCTTTTTGCAAATATTTTCCAGCCAGCTGTAAACTGATGGGTGGTAGAGGTCCAATATCTATAATGCCAAATTGCTCTGGAAATCTATTCCTCCAATCATATACCTTTATTGTTTTATATAAATGAAGCTTCTGCACAACTAATAAATTTAGTGTTTTAATTCAATGGATAATATATAAAGATAAGAAAGACCTATGTATAATTCATCCCTTTTCTGGCAGTGGTTCTCAATGGCAGTGGGCTTAACTCTAGAAATTCTAATGCTCCAATTTAGGAGGCCAGTGTTCCTCACTTTCCACTCCTGCTGAGAGTCAATGCTTCAATGAGTTCCTCTTCCTGATAGGTGTATGTCTGTTGAGTACCTTGGGTATGCTGGCTTAGATTCCAGTATCATCCCACTATGTGCTAGGTGTCTTACATGCTTTTAGCCTTTAGAGAAAACCCAATGAGTAGGTGTCAAATAAAACCTGAAGAATTTTCCAAACTCAATGCAAGACATATTAAGCCAATTATTAGACAAACTAGGATAAGAACCATATCCTTCTCTCACTCCAAAGCCTGTGCTAATTTTACCAGACCGCTAAGATTCAAATTCTCCATCAAAGATGATTTTGTTTGAGTTATTGTAAATTTCATTAACCCTATCCCACTTGATTTTCTAGCTTTTTGGTGGTGGTGGTGGCTTTGTATAGAAATAACAGTTAGGTGTTTTGTCTCTCTGCTCTTTTGCTTTGAAGGAATAACAACTGTCCTCACCATGACCACACTAAGCATCAGTGCACGACATTCTTTGCCCAAAGTGTCCTATGCTACCGCCATGGATTGGTTCATAGCTGTCTGCTTTGCTTTTGTATTTTCGGCCCTTATCGAGTTTGCTGCTGTCAACTATTTCACCAATATTCAAATGGAAAAAGCCAAAAAGAAGACATCAAAGCCCCCTCAGGAAGCTCCTACTGCTCCAGCACCAAAAGAGAAGCATTCTGAAGCCCCTTTGCAGGTATTTGACTTAATCTGCTTTCATTTTAAGATTTAGCTCCTTGGTCAAATTTATGTTGTCAGGGGAACAAACTGAGAACTTAAAAATACCAATAACAACTTGCAAGTCATTTAAAACTCCAGAAAAATAGAAAAGTAAACCTTAAGCTTAAAAATTAAACAACCGTGAATGGGCTAGATGCAGGTGAAGCTAATTGTTTGAAAGTTTCGGAGTTACAGATTTTTTTACAGAAAGGGACAAAATCTCATGTATACTATTAGGATGAATGTGTGGACATCTTTAAGTGAGTTGAACAAACATTTTAATGGAGTTCATTGTGCAAAACATAGCAGCAGTGTTTGTTTTTGTTTGTTTCTTAAAAATGTTTTCATATGTTTAATTTTTGTGACTACATAATAGATGCATATGTTTATGGGGTACATGAGATATTTTGATACAGGCATGCAATGTGAAATAAGCACATCATGGAAAATAGGATAGCCACTTCCTCAAGCATGTATCCTTTGAATTACAAACAGTCATTATATTCTTTATTTTAAAACGTACAATTAAGTTATTATTGGCTATCATTGCTCTGTTGTGCTATCAAATAGTATGCCTTATTCATTCTATTTTTTGTACTCATTAATCATCCCTATTTCCCCCCCACCAAACTCCCAATACCCTTCCCAGTCTCCATAATCTTCCTTTTACTCTCTGTGTTCATGAGTTCAATTGTGTTGATTTTTAGATCCAACAAATAAGTGAGAATATGCAATGTTTAAGTTTCTGTGCCTAGATTATTTCACCTAACATAATGATCTCCAGTTCCACCCATGTTATAGAAAATAACTGGATCTCACTCTTTATTTATGGCTGAATAATCATTCATTGTATATATGTACTGTATTTTCTCTATGTATTTTTCAGTTGATAGGCACATAGGTTGCTTCCAAATCTTAGTTATTATAGACAGATCTGCAACAAACATGGCAGTGTAGATATCTCTCTGATACACTGATTTGCATTCTTTGGGGTATACACCCAGCAGCAGAATTGCCAGATCATATGGTAGCTCTATTTTTGGTTTTTTGATGACCCTCCAACTGTTCTCCGTAGTGGTTATACTAATTTACATTCCCACTACACGTGTTTTCTTTTCTCCACATCCTTGCCAGCATTTGCTGTTGCCTGTCTTTTGGTCTTTTGGATATAAGCCATTTTACCTGGGGTGAGATGATACATCATTGTAGTTTTGATTTGCATTTCTCTGATGATCAGTGATGTTGAGCATTTTTATATGTCTGTTTACCATTTGCATGCCTTCTTTTGAGAAATGTCTATTGTGTTAGTCCATTTTCATACTACTGATAAAGACATACCTGAAACTGGGAGCAAAAAGAGATTTAATTGGACTTACAGTCCCGCATGGCTGGGGAGTCCTGAGAATCATGGTGGAGGGTGGAAGGCACTTCGTATATGGCTGTGGCAAGAGAAAAATGAGGAAGAAGCAAAAGTGAAAAACCCTGATAAACCCATCAGATCTCATGAGATTTACTCACTATCACAAGAATAGCACAGGAAAGACTATACCCCATGATTCAATTACTTATACCTGGATCCCTCCCACAACACGTGAGAATTCTGGGAGATACAACTCAAGTTGAGATTTGGCTGGGGACACAGATAAACCATATCATCTATTCAAATCTTTTGCACATTTTTTTATTGGATTATCAGATTTTTCCCTATTCAGTTGTTTGACCGCTTTATGTATTCTGATTCTTAATTCTTTGTCAGATGCGTAGCTTGCAAATATTTTCTCCCAGTCTGTGGGTTGTCTCTTCACTTTGTTTGTTTTTTGCTGTGCACAAGCTTTTTAACTTGATGTAATCTTTTCTGTCCATTTTTGGTTTTGGTTGCCTGTGCTTGTCAGGTATTACTCAAGAAGTTTTTTGCCCAGATCAATGTTCTAGAAATTTTCCTCAATGTTTTCTTGTAGTAATTTAATGGTTTGAGGTGGTCTTAATGCATTTTGATATGATTTTTCTATAAGGCAAGAGATAGGGGTCTATTTTCATTCTTCTGCATATGACTATACAGTTTTATTAGCACTATTTATTGAAGAGACTGTCTTTCCCCCAGTGTAAATGCTTGGCACCTGTGTTGAAAATGAATTCGCTGTAGGTGTGTGGATTTGTTTCTGGGTTCTCTATTCTGTTTCATTGATCTATGCATTGGTGTTTATGCCAGTATCATGCTGTTCTGATTACTATAGGTTTGTAGTATAATCTATAATCAGGTAATTTGATCTCTCTAGTTTTATTCTTTGTGTTTAGGATAGCTTTGACTGTTCTGGGTCTTTTGTGGTTCCATATAAATTTTCAGATTGCTTTTGCTATTTCTGTGAGGAATATCTTTGGTATTTTTATGGGGATTGCGTTGAACCTGTAGATTGCTTTTGGTAGTATGGAAATTTTATTATTATTGATTCTTCCAATCCATGAATATGAAATCTGTTTTCATTTTTTGGTGTCCTCTTCAATTTCTTTAATCAATGTTTTGTAATTTTCATTATAGAGATCTTTGATTTCTTTGGTGAAGTTAATTCCTAGGTACTTAATTTTATTTGTGGCTATTGTACATAGGATTTTTAAAAATGCCTTTTTCAGATTGTCCACTGTTGATGTATAAAAATGCTACTGATTTTTGTATATCAACTTCGTATCCTGCAATTTTTCTGAATTTGTTTATCTGTTCTAATAGTTTTCTTGTGGAGTCTTTAAAGCAGCAGCTCTTAACATGGCCACACATTAGAACTACTGCATGGGATAGGGTGGGGCCTGTAGCTGTATATTAAAGAAGAAAATAAAACCAATAAGCAAGAAGATAGATGAATTTTTGACCTAAAGGGATAGATCTAGATGTGAAAAGCTCAATAAGAGCTATTGTATTTTACATTTGACACATCAGTGAATCTGTGATTTCAAAAAAGAAAAACAATTAAAATGTGTATTTTTCTTCATGGAATCCAATTGTACAAAAATAGTAAGATCTTCATGAAAACATAGATGCAAAAAAGCAGTGCCCCTTCTTTGTTTTTCCTCTTCTTCCTCTTCTGCTACTCTCCAACTCCCTCTCTCTCTTTCTCTCTCACTCTCATTCTACTCAGCTTCTTTTTTGAACCAGTAGACAAATGCCTGGGGTCACTTACACAGAGTATATTGTATTTGCCACAAATGGTGGTCTAAGACTCCGTTTGTTTACATATACTCAAATCAACATGTATATAAATCATCAACTTTATTCTGTACAGATGACAGCTCCGTCCCATATTCATTCACTAATTGACTCATTCACTCATTCAACAAATATACGTTTAGTGCCAACTTTGTGCCAGATTTCCTGTTTGGCGTCTGTGAGTCTATAATGTACCAAAAACCAAATATCCTGCCAGATGGAACTTACATTTACTTGTGTGGGGCAAGAAAGAGTTGGCAGACAATTGTAAAAAAACATAAATGACAAAACAGGTAATGTGTTAGATGGTGACAGGGCTCTGATAGTACTAAAGGGGGCAGAAAGTGTGGGAGTAGGATAAGGATTTTGGGATTCTATTCTTAGAGAGGTGACAATTGAAGAAATTAGGTTAGGTGTTCAACCTCAAAGGCATTAACTGGTCAAGAATCCTGAAATTTATAGCTTTCTTCCTCTTCCTACAGGGCACTGGGCCCTTTAAGAATGGCATGTGTGCAGGTGAAAAATTCATCTTTCCACTGAGTTTAGATAGTTTATATTTTTCTCTAAATAAATCCATGTCATCACAATTTTGGAAACTATCAGAATGACTTTTACATACTATTTATTAGCTTAAAAAGTACTGATTGAGTATGCAGCATTATTTTCTTTCCTATCCCCCATAGGTAAATTTGGGCCCTCTGTGCTTGTTGCTTCATTTTGCTTTGCCTCGTATTGAAGCCTTGATAGAAGATTCTTTTTATGGATCCTTTCAAAAACTTCAGTCTTGAATTAATCAATTAATTTATTTTTTATTATTGAGTCATTAATATTGAGTCATGATTTTATTTGAATTCTATCTTTCTGAAAGTTTTGTTACTCTTTTTCTAGCTTCTTGAGTTCACCTTTTATTAATTTATTTTCACTGTGTCTTATTTAATAACAAATTTTTCTTATTACAATGAGATTTCCTTTCTTTGCAAACAGCTTTGGCCATAAATCATTCCTTTAGATATTCAATATTTTTATACTTATTTGCTAAATATTCTATATTATGATGCTGCTTTTATCTGTGAAATAAGATTATTTGGAGATAATAACATATTCAAATGAGATTTTAAAAAACTTCATTGTTAATTTTTAGTTGCATATGTTCAGAAACATTACTTATACAGATTTCAATGTTACAGATATTTTCGCTGTGCCCTGAGCTATGCTGAAACCTTAAAAATGTATGATGCCAAATTGAAAAAAGTTAATTTTTAATTATTAAAACAATTCTACTTAAAATGTTATTTTAGCTATTTAACAAATAACATCTTATTATCTTGATTTTTCAAATACCAAGAAATATTTGAAAATTTATCCCACTGATATTATGAGATCATATAATTTTTTTGCATTTTAATTATTTTTATTTTATACATTTTAATTCTATGATATTCAACATGTAGAGACACATAACTGCTTTATTTCTATATCAGTTCAGGTATATAATAATACAATAAACTTACTGTTTTCTCCCATATAATTTTTTTTCCTTGAATTCTATTTGGTCTGATTTTAATACATTTTTAAAATTTCTTTTATTTCTTATTAATTTTGCTATTAATTTTTATCACAAAAATTTTTCTTATTTCTTCCTTCTTTGTGTACTTTGGAAGTTATGTCATGAGTGGTTAACTGTAAGCTTTAAAACAACATATTAAATTTGTGATTTTCTAATAATGTTGAAATTATAAAATATATTGACTCTTCAATGCCAGAATTATTGTAGGTCCAAG